CCTCCCCCCCCCCCCCCCTCTCTCTCTCTCTCTCTCTCTCTCTCTCTCTCTCTCTCTCTCTCTCTCTCTCTCACACTATTTCTATCTCTCTCTCTATTTCTCTATCTTTCTATCTTTCTATCTCTCTGTCTCTCTGTCCCGACGGATTCGCTTTTTTCGCTTCGGTAACTTTTACGAGCGTTCTTCGTTTCAACATGCTATCGATCGTTAGTAATCAAAAATTAGTAATAATCCATTAAACCTTATAATTGGAAAACTGCTCGCGCGTGCGAAAGCGCTCAATCGCGCAATTGTGTTTATTGAGTCGAATCATAAATAACTCGCGTTCTCTTTCTCCCCTTCTCTCTCTCTCTCTCTCTCTCTCTCTCTCTCTCCCCTCTTTCTATTTTTCTCAATATTTTACAATGAAGCCTAATCTGATATAGTGTATATTAATTCGTTATTAATACAACAGCGCGTATTCTCGGCCAGTAGAACGGCTTATCAGCTCTTTCCGCGAGAGTACGGGGAAAAATAAATATTTTCAATCTTCGTCGGTGTGTTATTTATGATACTCGCACGACCCAGTAAATGAGACCTCTTCGTGTTGGGTGTGGATTGAAAAAATGGCGCAATTTCCCGACCTACTGAGCGTACCGCAAATATTTTCTAATACTTCTGAAATCGAAGGCAAACACCGATCGATATTGTTTTGTTAGATGACAGGATAAGTCTATTTGCTTGTTACTACGCTGATAGGTACATACATCGGAAGTACGTGACGTAGCCGCCTCTATGTACGTACGTGCTGCACGTAGGCATACTTGCGGATATTACGACGCGCTCGGTGGATAGGCAGACAGCCAAGAGACAAAGCGACCCTCTCAGGAATAGATCGAGAAATCGAGAACTCGGCGTGATATCGGTTTCTCATTAGATGGCCGTTTCGAGACGCGAATTCCGCGGTGCGCGAAGATATGCTACGCCTCGGCAATTCTCGCGAACACACCGTTGCTTGATTCGACGAGATAGTCGAACTGACGCATCTAAACCGCATTACCGTGAGAATGTCGACGATTTTCTTGTCTCGCGATAACACGGCATTGATACCTGGTAACATCCGAGTCCCTCGCTTCGAACACAATGCAATCAGAACTTCGATTTCGTACTCGACCAAGACTCTTTGAGAGATTGTACACAACTATTCGTACATTTCAACGGACAAATGTTTCTTCTCAGAAGTTGGCTCGAAAGATATATATAACAAGATAATAAGCTATGATACATTCACACATAGAAAAAAAAGATTTGATTGAATTAACTAAATATCTGGTCGAATATGAACGATCCAGAAATTCCAGATATATCTTTTACTCTCGAGTTAAATAATTAGACATGTTTAGTTAGTTTACAAAAAATCTTGTTAACTTAAACAGAATTCGGATTACTTTAATCGGAATTTCTGGATCGTTCATATTCGATCAGATATTTGGTTAATTCAACCAAATCTTTTTTTACAATATATATCTGTAATTAAAATGAGAAGGATTTTTTCGCACAATTAGAAATCTCAAAGCAATGTTCTTCGAAAAATTGGCGGGAAAAAATTGTATGATAAGATAATAAGCTGTAACTTTCGAAACTGACTATGATTAAGCTCCGAGAAAATATCTGTCTATAATCAAAGAGAAATTTTCTTTCGCATAATCAAGAATCTCGAAGCTGAGCGCGAAAGTTCCTGAAAAAAGTGGCCCAAAAAAAAATCCGCGATACGATAACAAGCTGTACTGTTTTCGGGACAATATCTGACAATTAAAATAAGAGAGATTTTTTCGCGTAATAAGAAATTTCGAAGCCGAGCGCATACCTTCGTGAGGTACTACTGTGAAGATTGTGAAATTCTCTCAGAGTACTCCCATTCCGAGCTGCTGTTACCCTTACTATGCAAGTGGCACGCAGCGCGAGGGAAATAAAAGAGCTCCGCGCGGGTGATAAGACGCAATTGAATTCTCTACTGCAACGCCTCAGAGACATCCATCCGGTCTGATTTCTGTCTTCCTCTTTTTGTAGCCCGACAGACTCGGCGCATTTTTACTCTACGCCTAGCCGGAAGAAACAGACGAGGTCCGCGACTGATATTTACATATTTCACCTGATATGTTCTCTCTCGCGTCGCTCTCGACATCGAAGAGTAAAATCGATCTACATCCTTTGTTACACGAAGGAAACATTTGTCCGCCGTGCACGCGCCGTTTCAAAAAGCGCCAGCTGTGCCAATCGATCGGACTGCCCCGCTGGTGCTCTATGATTTTCATATTTTCATAAAACGAGGCGATGCGCGTACATACGCCGAGCGGAGATGTCATTTCGATGAACTACGCGTCACGACGTGTTCCCGGCGTGCTCGTCTAATACGTTTATGCAAAACCGCACCGCCGAGCGTCCGCTGCTTTTTCCACTGACAATCCTCGCTACTGCATGCCTAATTTACCCGCGTCGACGAGCCGTATTTACGGATAACGTGCACTTCTAGGCGCGCAAAAAGCTCTCTTCCTCTCTCTGTATGCACTCTGTTTGCGCAAAAAAATCCAACAGCGACTTCGCTAATCAGTTCGGACGTCGTTCAACGTCGTTTCCGGGAGCTTTAATCTCCCGTAACATCGAGGAAGTTAATCTCGCGCGTCTCTTCTTCGTGAAAAGACAACTGCGAGGCCGCCGAAAAATCCGCGCGACAAGCGCTTCCTAAACACGGCGAGAACGGTTTTTTTTCCGGACACATCCACCATCGACACGAGAAAGCTCTTAACCCTGCTCGTACAGTATGCACAACGGCGCCGGGCTTCGAGTGCAGTTTATACGCTGGCGGATTATCCCGCGGGTATCCGATGTCCTCGCGACACCGGCTCTTTCTAATGCCCGTAATCGCGGAGGATACTCACGAGAGAAATCCCGTCCCTTTTATACCCTGACCATTTTCGGCGCTCCCGAGTCCCCCGGGAGATTCTCGTCGGCGTCTCGCCGAAGAGGGACGCCATATTTTCCCGACAAGCGGGCACTCGATAGGAAAAATCTAGCAAACTGTCTACGGATAACGACGAGAAGAGAAAGAGAGAGAGAGAGAGAGGAAAGACCAGCGAAAATAAAGGGAGCGAGCACACAGCGGCGAACGATCGCTGTTGAATTTTAATCCGGCCGGTGCAGCGACGCGAGAATCATCCCGGCGTGATTTTTAAATTAAAGCCGCCCGGTATTATCGGAAATGAAAGTAGCCGATGTTCGACAAATATCAGTGAATAAAGCGCCATACGTATTCATGAACGGCACGCTGGTGAAATGTGAAAAACTTTCGGTCGCGTAGTAGTGACGCGCGTTTACGTGAGCCGCGGACGAATTAAATGTCGGCCAGGCAGCGGCTCTCTAATGATAACAGTTGTTATAACCGAAGCTTCTCTCTCGACATGGGCGAAAATCCCTGCGACGCAATCAGAATCGATAGCAATAGATAGTTCGCGCGATTCGTGTTTTGCCGAGGCGACAACACGTCTGCAGAAACATCCGCGAAAACGAGCCAAATAACGCGGCACGTGCTCAGGACGCAGTTGTCGCGTAACTTTTCTCATTTGCCGAATCTCAGACGCTGCGGATTACTACTGCCAAACTAAACTAAGTGACGACTTTCGCATATGCTTTTACACACGCGTGTGTATCGTGTGGCGCGCGCGTCCCTAAGCGCGCCAAAAATAGATCCACGCGAACGCGGGAGTGCTTGAAAATAATATTTGAAAATAATACTTGAAAATAATACTTGAAAAAAATACTTGGAAATTTATTTAAAGGAAAATTTATTTAAAGGATATAAAGCTTATTTCTACGAAATAAAGCTTATCTCTGTGAAGAATAAACTTGATAGCCCTCACAAATTAATTAATTTTCAAATATCTCCTTTTCAATGTAAGAACTATCGTGGGTTTACTCCAGTCGAAATTTTAGCCTTGCCATCGACCTGAATTTTCCAACATTCGAAAAAATTAGTGTACGTCTGTGTACGTCTATATGTGAAAGCTGAAATCCTACTTAGCGCTTCTGAATGACAGAAAATGCACAAAATGCCACTTGCAGGTTCTGAAGAGCATCCCTCGGCTAAGTTAGCAAGTTAAATGAAATCAAAAGAGGCTGATATAGATTCTCAAAGACGTTAAATGGAATATTAAGGTCGAATGTAGGATCCAAATTTTAACTCGGGTATTTATATGCATTTAATCGCGAAGAAACTCAAGTTCCGCGCTATCGACGGAACTTTCTTTCGATACGGTTATTTCGCGAAAGTTTTCGCGCATCGAGCGGTAAGATTTTTACTCCCGGCTCTTATAAGCGGAGTTTTATCCTGCATAATTAGTCGTCGACTTTATCGCAGAAATAAGTCCTTAAGGTGCAAGGAAATCCATATTTAAAAACTTCGACAAAGCCGCATTCATCTGCCTGCAGAGATGCATCGCTCCTTTTCTCTTTTAATCGTCACTCCGATTTAATCGCAATTACTTCATGCTGCCGACGTATGAACCACTGCTGCACTGAAGGAAAAATTAACTTCTTAAATCAACAAATATTATATAATTAAATTCTTAAAATCAACAAATATGAGTCCCATTAACATATTTATTTAAATCTAAATTCTCTTTATTTAAACGAAATATTGTTTACTTAAATTAGGTAAACAATATTTGATTTAAATAAAGAGAATTTAGATTTAAGTTAAATCTAAATATGTTAATGGCACCCATAAAAAAAATATTTCTTGATTTTAAGATAATTTTTCCCTCAGTGTACGAATTCCGATGCTAAAAATACCGATGATAAATGGCAGTCTAATGACGTAATGCCCGCAATTAACTCTTTCGGTTGTGAGCAATTACAGTCATTAAATTGCATTACCGATCGATGAATGATTACAGTCGACGTGAAGCGTAATTAATCGCACGGAGGAAACATTAGGGAAATCACTTAGCCTAGTTGTTATAATAAAAACATTCACATTATTTTCCGCCCACGCGTACCAAAGAGACGTAGAAATTATGGTAGCGTCTAGGAATGATATATATTGATCTTTTCTTTACTGTCCGCCCGAATCGAAACATTGACACTACTTTCGACTTAAATATTCTATTTAATGCCATTGATATTCTAAAACCTATATCAACTTTCTTACAATCTTTTGATTCCACAAGCACAAAATACTATTCGTAGGTTAGAGAACTTCTCAGCAAAGTAGATTAAATGCACTGAGAAAAAATACTTGAGAATTTATTTGTGTATAAAGTAGGTTTCTGTAAAATAGAGTTTACTTTTGCGAATAAACTTTGTACCCCACAAATAAATTTTCACATAGTTTTTAACCAGTGCGAAAGATCCTCTATAAAACTTATAAGTAGCATTTTGTGCGTTTCTTTTGCGATTTAGAGGAACTAAGTAGGACTTCGATTTCCATATGTATTAAACACACACGTTGATCCTTCAAAATACACAGATGTTACAATGTTCAAGTCAGAATTAGGACTAAAATCTTAACTTGAACGTTCATACGTGTTTGAGAGGAACTCTCAGACATAACAACAGCAATTTTTAACGCAATATCTATTTAACTGGAATTCACATAAATTTTCTTTGTGAACTGAAGATAATATGACTGCAGCAGCCGTGACAATTTTCTCCGTGCGCGCATTCGTGTTCACGATGAATAATCAGGTCACCGAATTGCTCAACAACCCGTTTTGCAAATCTCTAGAATTTCCGTATTGCGATTTCGATCTCACGCATTTCTTATGTCTTACAGACGGCGACGAAGGTGGAGACGCATTCATGCCGACACGCCACGAAGCCCGCGAACAAGGAGAAGAACCAGAATCCAAAGTGTATTCCATGTAGGTAGTCGCCGATCGCGAGCTTCTCATTATATCACCGCGAACGTCCCTTTTTCTTCCTCACGGAAGAGAATCGCGCTGATTGCGACACGCGCGGTTTACGCGCGCGATGACATAAAACGCCGATTCGAAAACGATGAACAGCCGCGTAACGAACGCCTACTCTATCTGTAATTATTCGCGAGCGGACGCACACAGTTGCAAAATAGTCGCGTGCTCGTCGCCGAACGATCGTTAATTAAAGATGCTTGTCAAAAAAGGGAAAAAAGAAATTGAAAAGTTCTTTTATATCAACCAATCATTTCTAACGTCGCGATAACTGGATCGCTCGCGCGACGGTCCTTGATTGTTCATTAATTAACTTTCTCGCGACGGTGGAGATAAATCAAGACGGCTGCAAGACGGCTGCAAGATCGCGAGAGCCTTTGTTAACGAGGATCTATTTCCAGTGCGCGATATATAGGCGGAAAAGGTTCTACCATGTACTAAAACCATGCCTCTCTCTGCTCTGCTCTTTCTAGATGACTATAATAGGGTAGTGTTGGAGACGATAGAAGGCGAGCCCGATTCCGATTACGTTAATGCCTCCTATGTAGATGTGAGTATATCATCATCGAGTGGCCGGCAAGAAAAAAGTATTGCATGCGCGAAGGCCTTTGGCAAATGAAGCGCGTTCGAAATAACGCGCCACGATCTAACGATATAACGCGATATCCGTGATATAACGTAATTATGGACGGATTTGTAGACGCGGAAAGGCCAAAATCGGCGGGACGCACGTCCCTGCAAACGGAATTCGCGTCTCTCGCTTCGCGTCACGGCGCGGCGCGCGATCGCAAGCCGCTTATTCCGTTCGCACGGTAGACTTAGGCGAATATTAATGGTGCAGCGAGGCATACAATTACAGGTCGATATCAATGCTGCATTTCAGAGTATATTGAAGCCGAACGCTTACATTGTCACTCAGGGACCTATGGAGAATACAGTGACGGAATTCTGGCGGATGGTCTGGCAAGAGCAAGCTTCCTGCATCGTTATGCTCACGAAAACTTTCGACTTCATCAAGGTAAAAAGTCATGCCGCAAGAAGGGGATTTCTTTGCGGAAAACATATCAGAGGTGTCTTGCGAAACATGTAAAAACTCTCGTGTATGAATAAATCAGATCAAACTGAACAAAATATTCCTCTGTACGGACAATATTTATCACAGATCTTTTTTCATATAATTCTTGTCGATTTTGTAGTGTTTCTAATAATGCTGGAATAGACCGACAGGTAAAGTTTATCCTGCTGAGGAACATGACAAATTTGCCAGCAACACAGCAGATTTCGCTTTTTAATGACATATTTCAGTTGTAATATTTTGAAAAAAAAAACACGCAGGTTTTCAAGTTATTTAAGAAAAATTGGCGAACAATTGATTATTTGCAAATTTTCTTTGATTAATAACTCCATTTCACACAAGTTTTCGTAACGTGGTAGAGGAATCTGTTGTTCAGTTTGATCTAATCGACACGCACACAGGAGTTTTGCATCGCCAAACAGTCTGCGTGAGCGAAACGCGAAAGGGAAAAGAAAATCAACGGGAAAGAAAACTCGAAAAATAGTCGGTTCTAGTTACAGTGCCGCACAAAAAGCGGTATCTACCGCGCACGAGCGAGCGTGATGACGATGACCACGAGTCTTAGCGTCAGCTTTAAGCTTAAAGTCCGCCGTATAAATACTTGATTTATACGTCGCTCCGTCGCTTTTCAACTGTGACTCGCATTCACACACTCTCTTTTTCTCTTCTTTGCAGGTGATGTGTGTGCAGTACTGGCCGGCGAGCAAAGACAAAGACGAGGAATACGGCGGGATCGGCGTTTCCGTTTTAAAAGAGGAGGAACTCGCCAATTTTCACATAAGGACGATAAAGCTTTACAAGAAAAACGAGAACGACGTGAGTGTGTGTTTCTGTTGTTGCCACCACGAATTATTTCTCCTTTTCTCTCTCTCTTTCTTCCTTCTTTTCTTTTTTGCATCGTTGTTACGCGAAGTGTTCTTTACGCCTTCCGCGAGTTTAAATGAAATCCGGGATCAAAGTGGAGCAAATGTCTTTTCTTCTTTTTCTGTTTATTAGGAATAAACCTGTTTTCGGATTAATAACTCTCGACGCACATAGGTAACGCATAGTAACGCGCGCGCCATGCAAATACTCAAATAAATTCAATATTTACAAGAAAGTCGGAAATATGCGTTTCGTGCCGATCGATCGGTGTGTTCGCAGCGAGAGCGCGACATGTTTGAACTCTAATCGCGAGAGTCCGCGGAAGAAAAAAAAGGAAATTCGCAACGTTTATCGCCGTTAATGCGAACGACGCAAATCCACAAGTCGCGAATATCGTCCGAGTGCGCCCCCGGAATATATATTTCCGTGTACACCGGGGCTTTTGAATAAATCAGAATGGCTCGAACGCGTCCACGTCGACGAAGATCATCCCAGATGATCCCGCGCCCCGGCGGTCGTTAGAAATTCCCCTTCTTTTTAGCCGGAAAATTACCGTTCGCGCGGGACGCTCGCGCCAAGTAAGAGTAGAGGCTACAACTCGATAATACAGTAGGCGACGAACTTGTGCGAACTCGAAACTTGTTCCCGGCCATGTCGAAGTGGCGAGGATCTCGAAGCGTTGCCAGGTACCGGGCGGACGGTTCGCGAGGCGGAAAATGGTCGGGCGAAGTTGGCGAAAAAGTTGGCGAAATTAACTGTACAGGCGGCTCGTGTCGGCCCCTCCGTCATTTCGGGCGTCGGCGGAATGCGAAACGACACGTAGCGGCGCTGCCGCGATATGGACGGCCACGATAAGTTCCGCTGGTGGAGCCATTACGGCCGGCTAATTTAATTGCACTTTTATCTAAGAGAACGAAGAACGACAATTGCGGCCAGTCTCTAAAGCTCTTCTGAGCCGCACCTAGGATCTGATTCCACCGGCATCGTTACTTAGTCCTCCGCTCGTTGAACCTTTTTTTTTTCTCTTATCTCTGGAGACTCCTCCAGGACTTTAAAGCTGCTCTCTCTCTCTCTCTCTCTCTCTCTCTCTCTCTCTC